TATAATCTGTAGGATGATAGCATAGGTGAGTGAGGTTTTTCCTTTATATCTGAATACACAACTAGAGGGCAGATCCAACATGGCTAAGTGGGGCCACTCAGAGATCATCAACTAGAAACAGGTAATTTGAGCAGGGGAGTGACATACACACTGATACAAAGAATCAATTTGAAAGAAGCTACAGATCAAAAGTATGTATAGAAGTTAAAAAGAGGGGTAGCTGTCCATCAGGGCTAGTAGGCTGAGCTCCTACCCTCATCCACCCCAGGAACAGCCATTTTGAGAGCCTCTCATATAGCTGGAGGAATCCAGGAAGTGCAGCAGTCTAGTGTCACAGGACAGACTGGGGGTATATGAGCTCCTTCGTCCCATAATCCTCTCTCCAAACACTGAGCAGGCAGAATTTTTGCTGGCACACATCAGGGGCAAGAGATCAGGGGCAGGAGATGCTCCCTCCCCATATGCCCAATCTCAGACTGAGAGGATAAAAAGAACACTGTATCTAGAGTCATCAATATTAGACCCTAAGCATATCTAAGTCACCACCAAGTGACTAAAGTTTGTCCTATGCCAACTAGGACACTTACCCAAGCACACAATGCTAACACTAGTCAAATGTGAGTCTGTGCCCAGCACCTGGACTCACTTGACTCCACTCCCAGATCCAATGGCCCTGCACTACTTAATAGACCAGCCAGAGACTCTGTCTCACATCTATCACCAGTCCTGGCCAACCTGGGTTTCCATGGGGAATTCCAATCTTATCTAAGTCTCCTGCTGGTGTGCCTGACCTGTGGGAGCCCAAGGTGTACTGCCCCCACCCCTGAGTGCAATAGAGTCTCCACCATGCACATCTTCAGCGTCCAGGTGAAATCCTTACCCAGCACATTAGTTAAGTCCCCTCCTGGGTTAGCAGCTAGGGCCAAAGGTTTGCTGACTTGCCCTGTGGTCTGGATACCCATGAGACACAACCCAGTGCTCCATACCCTCATTAGGCCTACCAGAATCTTAAACAAATGGAATTTAAATAACACTCTCTTGAATACGAATGAGTCACAAATGAAATTAAAGAGGAAATTAGACAGTTTCTACAATTAAATGATAATGCCAATACGACATACCAATGGGACACAATTAAAGCAGTCCTATGAAGGAAGTTTATTACAGTGAATTTCCACATCCGAAAAAGAGTGAGCTCAAATAAATAACCTAACGATCAATCTCAAGTTTCTAGAAAAATAAGAACTACCAATACCCAAAGCTAGTACAAGGAAAGAAATTAAAAAGATTAGAGCAGAAATTAATGCAATTGAAGCTAAAAAAAATAGTACCAATGAATCAAAGACTTGGTTCTTTGAAAGACTAAATAAAATAGACAAACCCCTAGCCAACCTTATCAAAACACGGAAAGACCCAAATCCATGCAATTAGAAATTAAGGGTGAAATCACAATGGCTCCTACAGAAATCCAGAAGTGTATTGGTACCTACTTTGAGAATTTGTACTTTAATAAAGTGAACAATTCATAAGAAATGGGTAGATTCTTAGATACACATGAATTACCAAAGTTGAACCAAAATATAAAAGTTCTAAATAATCCAGTATCAGTCAATGCAATTGAAGAATTAAAAAAAAACCAAAAAACTACTAACTAGGAAAAGCCTGGGACCCAATAGATTCAGTGCCTAATTTTATAAGAATTTTAGAGAAGATCTAATGTCATTACTCCTCAAACTCTTTAATAAAACTTAAAAGAAAACACTACTCCCAGTTATTCCTGCAAGGGGCCAGGGATTTAGCTTAGTGGTTCTGCTGCCTGCTTCACAAGCGCAAGGTCCCAAGTTCGATCCCCGGTACCAAAAAGAAAGAAAAAAAACAAAACAAAACAAAGTTATTCCTGCAAGCTACCATTACCCTGATACCAAGACAAGAAAAGGATCCAACCAAAAAAAAGAGAACTATAGACCAATCTCTTTAATGAACATAGATGCAAAAGTCCTCATAAGATACTAACAAACAGAATGTGGTAAATCATCAAAAAGATTATATAGCATGATGAAGTAGGATTCATGCCAGGGATGCAGGAATGGTTCAACATACACAAATCAATAAATGACCCAAGGGGACCGGGGATTTAGCTCAGTGGTTCCACTGCCTGCCTCACAAGCACAAGAACCTGAGTTTGATCCCCAGTACCAAAAAAAAAAAAGACCCAAGACCCAAGGATAAAACCTATATGATCATCTCAATAAATGCAGAAAAAGCATTGGACAAAGTCTAACATCCGTTGGGCATGGTGGCGCACACCTATGATCCCAGAACTTAGGAGGCTGAGGCAGGAGGATTGCTGCAAATTTGAGACCAGCCTGGGCTACTCAGTGAGTTCAGGGCCAGCCTGAACTACAAAGGGAGACTCTGCCTCAAAAAAAAAAAAAAGTCCAATATCCATCCGGATAAAACTCTACAGAAAATTGAAATAGAAGGTCTTTATCTCAATCTGAAAAAAGCTATCTATCTTCATCTGAAAAAAGCAATCTGACACAGCAAACATCATACTAAGTGGACACAAGCTGAAAGGTTTCACTGTAAAATCAGGAACAAGACAAGGATGACCGCTATCACCACTCCTGTTCAATGTAATTCTGGAAACATTAGCTAGAGCAAGCAAAAGACAATATAGGAAAGGAAGAAGTTAAATTATCATTATTTGCTTATGACATGATTCTCTACATAGAAGATCCCAAACACTCCACCAAAAGACTCTTAGAATTAATAACTAAATTTGGTAGCATAGGATACAAAGTCAACCCTCAAAAATCAATGGCATTCCTTTATACCAATAACAAACTGATGAAGAGAACAATTAGGAAAACAATGCTTTTCACAACAGCATAGAGCAAAATGAAATACTTAGAAATCAACCTAATGAAGGAAATGAAAGACCAGATCAAAGAAGGTATCAGAAAATGGAAAGGTGCCAGGGATTTAGCTTAGTGTCACCGTGCCTGCCTCACAAGCTTAAGGTCCTGAGTTCGATCCTCCACACCAAAAAAAAAAAAAAAGTCAGATAAAGAAGATGGAAAGGTATTCCCTGTTCTTGGATAGGCAGAACCAACATGGTAAAAATGGGCATACTTCTAAAACTGTAACACAGATTTAATGCAATCTCAATCAAAATACCAATAGCATTCTTCACACACCTAGAGAAAACAATCCTAAAGTTCATATGGAACCAGAGGAGACCTGGAATAGTAAAAGCAATTTTGGGCAACAAATTTGAATCAGGGGGCATCACAACAACTGATCTAAAGTTATACTACAAGGCTACCATGATTAAAAAAGAAAAACAGACTTGAGAATCAATGGACCAGAACAGAAAATGCAGAAACAAATCAAAGCAGATTGAGCTACCTTGTCTACTACAAAGTGGCTAAACACTTTCACTGAAAGATAGCGTCTAACAAATGATACTGGGAAAATTGGCTTTCCACATGCCAAAGATTGAACCTGATATATCCCTAACCATGTACTGAACTAAAATCAAAATGGATCTAGGGCCGAAGATTTAGCTCAGTGGCACCATGCCTGCCTCACATGTGCAAGGTCCTGAGTTCGAACCCCAGTACCAAAAAAACAAAGATCAAAGTTCTAAACATTGAAACAGAAACACTTAATCTGGTGGAAGACAGATTAGATAAAACTCTTGAAAACTTACACGTAGGCAAAGACTTTATGAGCGAAACCCCAACTACACAGAAGAATCAATAGGACCTCATCTCATTAAAAAACTTCTGGACAGCAAGCAGAAGAAACCACCAACAGAGTGGAGAAACAACCTACAGAATGGGAAATAATTTTTGCTAGCAATTCCTCAAAGGACATATACCTAGAATATATAAAGAACTCAACAGAATTAGACCCCCCTCCCCAAAATTTAAAGGCCCAATCTAAAAATAGGCATCTGAAATGAACAGACACTTCTCAGATGAAGAAATACAAACAGGAAATAAATACATGAAAAAACATTCAACAGTCGTGGACATCTGAGAAATATAATGTTAATTAAAACAACACAGATTCCATCTCACTCCAGAAAGAATGGCTATCATCAAATCAACCAATAACAAATGTTGATAAGACTAGGGGGGAAAAGGAACCCTTCTCTCTTGTTGGTGGGAGTGTAAATTGGTACAACCACTATGGAAAATAGTATGGAGATTCCAAAAAATATTAAAACCTAAAACTAGCAGTTCCGTTTGATCCAGCTATTCCCCTTCTAGGTAGCTTCTGGAAAGTATTAAAGGCATCATACCACAGTGATACATGCATACTCATGTTTACAGCAGCACAATTTACAACAGCTAAATCTTGGAAACAGTCAAGATGCCCATCAACAGATGAATGGATAAAGACAATGGGGTATTTGTATAAAATGGAGTACTACTCTGCCATAAAGTAGGATAAACTTGAGACATTTTTAAGATAATTGGATTCCTCTTGAGACCATAATCTTAAGTGAAATAAAACAGACAGACAAGTTTAAATACTGCATTGCTTCTCTTGTGTGAGAAACTCAAAGTACAAATAAGGAGCAAAATGGAAGATAGATATTAGGAAGTAGGAAGAACATGTTCAAATGGGAAGCAGAACAAGAAAGGGGGGAGGGAAAAGAAAAGGTATTTTTAAAAAAAGAATTGAAGGAGAAAATGGAAACAACTTTTGTAAGTAGGGAAAGGAAGAAAAGTTGAAGAGGGGAGGAGAATGGGGAAAAAAAGGAATTCAGATATATTATATACATGTACAAATTCGCCATTATGAATGTGACCATTATGTACGGCAAATATGTCCTAATAAAAAATGTTTAATAAAATAACTCTTAAAAATATTCAACTAATACAAGAAAATGTGGTTACTTATTACCATATTAACATGAATGCTTTGTGTCCTCAAAGTGAAACTGAAAAATTTCAGACAACAATATGAAAGAAAAAGTCATCATAAATGAATATATACAAATACTTTTATTTTTGTCTTTAAATATAATACAGATACATATTTGAGTATGTAGACTGCTCAAGTCCAGTAGAGGAAAGGTTACAAAAGATACATATGAAACAGTCACACAGCATGGTACAAACAACAACCTTTCTTAAAGAATAACCACATTCCATACAAATGAGAGGGTTGTGAAAAGGGGTTTAAAGCTCAAAATTCTACAATAGTACTGAGGTATACTAATGGAGAATAGGAAGTCTTCCGGGGTTTCCTTTTGTCCCATACTCACTGAAGTCTTATCCTTTTCTCAGGTGGGCCTTTAGTGCTCAGTGTCTGTTGGACATTCTTTGTGGTCTCTTTCTCCTCAGATTTTATAGTTTCTGGTGTTGGTTCTGCCTCTTTCTTTGTTTGATCCACTGGACATCAAAACCAGGTTTTTTAAAGAGGAATGAGGGTGGAAGGATAAATTGAGACAACAGTTATTATGAATGGTTCTCTCTTTTTTTTGTTTTTTTGGGTACCGGGGATCAAACTCGGGTCCTTCCACTTGCGAGGCAGGTGGCGGAACCACTGAGCTAAATCCCTGGCCCTATGAATGGTTCTCTTTGAAATTCTTTTTTTTTTTTTCAACACTTACCTCAAGTTTTACATTTAGCAGTTTCCTCAAGCACATGTATTTAAGAGGCTAGTTATAAACCTGACAATCTATTATTGCCTCAGGGAAATTTGTGATACACAAAAACACATGATATTTAAATAAAACATCACGTATAAGCAAGTATGTAATTATTCTATCCCAGTGCAAAACCATTTTCAATTATGAAACTGAAAATAACCTCAAATCAACTTGACTTCCACACACTTTCTACTCTTTCCACCCAAATTCTTTTTCTCGTTTTGTTTTTTGAGACAGGGTCTCACTATGTAGTTCAGCCTGACCTTGAACTCACTATGTAGCCCAGGCTGGCCTCCAACTTGTGGCAGTCCTCCCGCCTCAGCTTCCAGAGTGCTGGGATTACAGGTGTCCACCACCACACCCAGCTCCAAATTCATCTTTTAATTACCAGTATCACTACCACAAAAGTGGCAATTCAGCAGGTCTTAAAGGTCAGGAATAACAAATTACAATAACTAAAGAATGAAATAACCTTAGCTCATCTCACCATTGTCATTGTTATTAATCAAAACATTTGCTCTTATTTCAAGTTTACTAAGAATATCAGTTGAACCATATTGAAACATACCTGGGACAGGCTTTTCTCCAGATTTTTGCTATAATTTTAAAAACAGGGGTTAGGGGGAGGAGACAAAAACAGGCCAGGTTAAGCAAAGTATTCTTCTTGATTTTGTATTTCTTATTAAAATGACAGCATGAATTTACATTATAAATGACCGCATAAAGAAAAATTATCATGTGCTATAAAATTACTATTCATGTGCCATATAAAAGCACATTTGCTCATTTTCTACTTTTTACCCCCATTCCAGAAACAAATCAGAGCAGATGCTGGGCGTAGTGGCACACACCTGCAATCCCAGCACTCAGAAGGCAGAGGCAGAAGGATCATGAGTTCCAGGACAGCCTGGGCTACATAGTGAGTTCAAGGCCAGCCTGAACCACATAGTAAGACCCTGTCTCAAAAAAACAAAAACGGGGCTGGGGATTTAGCTCAATGGTACCACTACCTGTCTTGCAAGCACAAGGTCCTGAGTTTGATACCCAGTACCAGAAAAAAAAAAAAACAGACTAGTTAACCACAAAAACCCTGACATCTAACAAAACCCTTTGCCTCAATACAAAGGCTACAATACTGTTCAAAATGTAGTTAAGTAGAATTCAGTGAGAGAAATAATGAAAACTTAAAGACGCAAAACTTAAGACTGACTTTTAGAACTGGCAGGCATCAAAAATGAGAGAAAAGAGGTATCTTCCTATGAGCATAACATGTGATAAGGGTACTATTACAAGTCAAATTGCAGGAAAAGTGAGGGGGGCATTAGAGATCATGAATAATGTTAAGTCCTTTACACACCAATTCTTTTACTTAATTGGACCCTGTCATCTCCCTAATCCCATGATCCAAGTTACATGCTCTAAAACACCTTCTTTCTCCTCAGAGTCCACAACCTATTCCTCATTCTCAGTCAATGACACTCAGCATTCTATGTTTAAAAGCAAAACAACAAAAGAAGTATTTTGGTTGAAATGGTACTGCCCCCACACCCCTAGACTAATCTACTGAGGGCTTCATGACCAATGCAGCAATATTCAGAGGTGGGGCCCAGACAGGTGACTGCATCATGCGGGTGCCAATCCCAATTCACAGCTGTATGGGCTATGAGGAGGTGCAGCCCAGCTCGAGGAGTAGGGGGTCACTGGGTACGTGACTTTGAGGGCTGTATGTTGTCCCGAGTCCCTTCGTCTCTGGCTCTGTCTCCCCCTATCCTACTTGCCCCACTTCCTGGCTGTCAAGAGGTGAGCTTTCCTCCACCATGCCTTTCTGCTATGATGCTATGCCTCACCACAAGCCCAGAAACAATGGAACCAGGTGACCACTGACTAAAACTTCTGAAATCATGGAACCAAAATAAATCTCTCTCCTTTAAGTTATTATGTCAGGTATTTTGTCACAGCAACAGAAAGGTGACTAACACAAATACGACACCAATACCTCTTCCAATTTACTTTTCAATTTATTGTACCTTTACTTTCATTTCCTCTCCTTCTGTCCCTCCCTCCCCCTCCCCCCTCCCTCTCTCTCTCCATATCTTTACATGCTTCCATGTCATCTCAGAGGAAACACTAATCTCTTCATTTCTAACCCTAATGTCTTCATCTGTTTTCTAATTTCTTTCTGAATTTAGGAGCGCTCCCTAAACTTGCGTACCTATTCCCTTGGATAACAATTACAATATTTCGGGTATCACATGTTCCAGATTCATGCTCCCACTTTTATACTTAACAAGACCAAAACCAAGTCCCATATTATTATCCACTATGCAAAAAAGGGTTAACACAGAACTACGAGAAGCCCATCCTCAGAAAGGCCTGCCTTGTAATGTTGGCCCTTGGTTAATAACCTGACAGGGCTCCCACCATTTCCCATCTGATAGCAGTGGCTCACTGTGCTTAGACTGCTCACACAAATAATGCAATTTATGCCAGTTATCTCCTTTCCTTCAGGGATTGTGAAATTTTGGCATGTGCTAGAGGGTATCTACATGATGAATTCCCCTGGCCCCACAAAATGTGGGTAGTCTCTAGTGGATTTTTCTGGGCAGAATTAACATACATATGTTACCAATTTTTGTACTGTTGAGGTGAAAGTATTTTGTTGTTGTTGTTTTGGTTTGTTTTGAGACAGTCTTGCCATGTACTCCAGGCTAGCCTCAAACTCACAATCCTCTTGTCTTAACCTCCCGAATGCTGGGATTATAAGCATGCATCACTGTACCCACCTCTGAAAGTGCATTCTGTATAACCCCTTTATGGTAAGGATAAAGTCTAAGTCCTTCAGACTCCATCTGTGTCTTTTTCTGTTAGGATCTGGCTTTATATCTTTACTCTAACAAAGTAACAAATCTCAGCCATTGAGCACAACTATATACCAAATCCTATGAATCCTTCTAGCAAATCTCCAAATATGGAAGGTGGTCATGGAAATTCTGATCCTAGCCACATATCACATATCTTTTAAACATATTAGGACTCAAACATGGCTAAAGTCATTTGGAAGAACAAATAATTTTTCTTACTTTAAAAGAAAAAAGTAAATAAATGTATGGAGTAACACTGAAGGGACAAAATTTTGAGAAAGGAGATTTTTATATTGCTAGCTCTGAACCATTTAACAATAGTGAGACATGCACCAGGGATGTAGCTCAGTGGTGCCGCACCTGCCTCGCAAGAACAAGGTCCTGAGTTCCATCCCCAGTACCAAAAAAAAAAAAGTGAGACACAGGAATAATATCATTATCTATCCGACATACAGTAACTAACATACACTAACAAATCTTTTAGTGAACACAGGCAAACTAGCAGGAAATGGGTTGAGATGGCAAAGAGGAGTGCCTTTCAGACCAAATTTAATTAGGAATCTTGAGAAAACCTAGGTGAAGTAATTTCCATGATATCCTAGCAGCTTCTGAAAAAGCACTAAAAACACCCTTCATCAAAAGCCCCGAGGACCTGAACCCCAACACATGAGTGAGTATCAGTGTAACTTCCAGCAGTAGCAAGAATTAAAATATGGAAAAAGAAGGCTTCAAAGAAGCAAAGGAAACTTCTCCCATATTTTCCTGTGTACCCCCGGTAGGAGCAACATCCCTACCTACACTAGAAGCCTGACTACTAAATACAATGGAGAACTAGGAGTAAATCCTGAGCTACAAGTGGTTCTGGAAGACACAATGAGTAAAGAGAAGTTCAGATGAGTGGTTGTCAGAGACTTCAGACTGTTTACATCTCTAGGTTTGAGGGGAACATTTCTGGTAGTTTAACAGAGTAGGCCATCTTTTTCCTACCTCTGTTACACAGAGCTAGATGTATTCTCCCTTCGGGAGTTGGCTTTTGATCCTTCGATGCCAAAGCTGGGGGTTCAAGAAAATGACAACTTAGATATGGCTTTTGCTAAAGCTTTTGACAGAAATGTAAAAACTCATAGAAATGATATGAAGTCTATAGTCTGCTTGAAACTAACTGTGAAAAACTGGGAGAAGACAGAAAGCAAGATTGGCCATGTTTGATAAATTGTGGAACAGGGTAATAGATAATGGGAGTTTCATTTTTAATTATTCTCTCTACTTTTTTTTGGTACCAGGGATCAAACTTGGGTCCCTGAGCTTATAAGCCAGACAACAGAACCACTGAGATAAATCCCTGGCCCCTATTCTCTCTACCTTTGTCTATGTTTTATATTTTTCATCATTTTCTGTAAAGTAAAGCTTTTTTGTATTAAAGATGAAGGCTGTCTTTGAGCTTTCTACAATGTCCACATTAGCTCACTAGGTAGAAATCCACAAACGAACCAAGGCAGGAACCTTAGCCCGAAAAGGAAGTGCTCATTCACTGGCATACCTCAGAACCCAAACTCAGAAGCTGCTCAATATTCTGAAGGTTGATCAATGTAAACAGAACCTTGAACAACTATATTTCAACCAAATTCTGTTGTTTCTCCTATATTCTGAATTTTAGTTTACAATCAACACCTTGTCAAATTCTAACCCTGAAACCCCAGAATCATCTTTAATGTCAATCTCTCCAAACCCAATGTCCAAATTTAAGCAATCTCAGCTCTGAAATATGTCTTGACTCTATCTCCTCTCTAACTAACAGCCACAGAATAAATTCAGGCTTTCCCTCATCTATGAAATCTCTGACTCCAAACTTTAATCTCCTTAGCTCCTACACTGTTATTAGTTATCTTCCTAAAATACAAAAAAGTGACTAAAGTAGTCCCTTTACCCATGGCGAAGATATATCTCAAGACCCCCAGTGAAAGCTTAAAACTGTGGGTGATACTGTATTTCCACAAGAAATATGACCTAACTGGAAAATAAGCCCTAGCATGGTAGTTCAAGATGTTCATAATATAAGCCCTTCCCCCAAAATAAGCCCCAGTTCAGATCATCAGTCAGATGGACACAAAATAAACAATATTACTGACATTAACACTTAAAATAAATAATAATATAAATTACAATTAAGTATCTGGAAATACCCAAGCAGGTACCTTTGGATGAGAGCTAAATGCCTACATAAACAGATGAACTTTAGGCTTATTGCCAAATGAACAACTGGAGTACAGATACAATGTACAAATAACGTGCAATCTTGATAAGGAAGAGAGATGGTTGTGTCTAATATGAATCTTCATAATTCAATGCCATGTGTTATAACAGATGTACTTAAGCACTCATGTGAAATAAAGAAACGTTTTCTGAATTTTGGTATCTGAGATTTTTCAGCACTTTCGGGTGGATTATCATTCTTAACTATCACCATTTTGATTGCCACTCCTGTCTTATGAGTCTTCAATTAACACTTGATTTAATGGAAACTTTGTGAGAGAATTCATGGGTTAAAATCACTGATAGCTGTGATGTCAATGCACTACAAGCAGGCTACATGGACAAAGAATGATCATTTAAGGACAGCTCTATTGCTGGACACGAGAGATTGGAGCCAATGCTTCTACAGGAAATGGAGTCACAAGAAATTCAGGCCAGAATTTGGGGTTTGGAGAGTTATGACAATGCTCCAGAAGAAATGATATGACTGCATTTGAATAAATGTAGACTTTGGCAAATGAATAAATGGAATTTTTGTACATGAATAAACAAATAAATGTAGACTGTTAAATATAAGTATAAATTGTTGTACATGAAAAAATAAGACAATCCCTCAAAATAAGCCCTCTTGTGTTTTTGGAACAAAAATTAATAAGACCTGGTCTTAATTTCAGGGAAATCCGGTATGTTCCAACTTGCATCCTCTGTTCCCTTCATTACCATGTAATTATTACAATAACATATTTCTCTCACTATAGTAACAGTCGGGGCAGGGAAGAGAGGCCTGTTCTAAAGTCATCTCATAATGCAAAAGTCTCATTTAATTTACAACTATCATTGAAAATTCCTTAAACAGCTCTTAAGAACAATGGCATATATATGACTATGGGTGTACACGGACCCATAAAGGTCCATAAGAACTGCAACTAATTGTGAGAATAACATGTTCATATGTTCTATCTATTAACTACTTCAAGAGCTCATTGAGTAGAATTTGCTAGTGCTGTTAGAACTCCCTCCTCTCAAATCATATAGGACAATTCGTATAACTTAAAAACCAATACGAAGGGGCCAGAAATTTAGCTCAGTGGTACTGCACCTGCCTTGCAAGTGCAAGGTCCTGAGTTTGATTCCCCAGTACTGGAAAGAAAAAACTCAATATGGCATAACTCTATTACTACTCCTGTCTTTCATCATGCTAAGCCTTCTACCAAAAATGCTCTATTCTCTTTGTTACAAATTTTAACCATCCAATCATTTAAGGAGCACAGATACCTATACTACATCAGGCTCCACATAGAGTAAAAGAGAATTTTATATCTTAAAAGTTTTTTACTACCTGTTACACTTTTAACAATCTTTAGAATGAGAATATTATCAGCAGGGCTATTATTTTTAGGTCATACCTGAAACCATTTTCACTTAAATAAGTATATGACAGCAAAAAATGTCAAATCACACACAAGCACAAGTGCGCACACACACACATTTAAAAAAAAAAACGAAACAAAAAGTATTAGCCACACATTCTTATTACCTGCACAAATTTAGGTGGAAATTTTTGTCTAAGGTCCACAAGTAAAGCATCCACGCGCTGTCTCTGAAAAATAGAGCTTGGTTCTTCTTTTCTTTTAGCTTTTGGTTTGACTTTATCTATTAAAATATAAAATCCAAATCAAAACATTACCTAGTTTCATATTTTATAAATCTTTATCCACCAAGAATATACTCAAATTTCAGTATTTTGAAAGGCTACTATACTCATACAATTTCCCAAATAACTTACACACAGCATATGTGAAGTATTCCAACTCTCCTTAAATTATGTTAAATCCTGACATTTAAAAAGCTGGTAAACATGTCTTTTAAAGACACTTCAGTTTCAGTGTGTCAGCATTGACAGATGAGTTTTAAGGCTAAAGTTTTTCATAATTACCTAAATTACAACCTAGATTATTGGTATGACAGTATCTTTATGTATTTTAAGTTTATTTAGTGGTCTTTTTCCCATAAAACCTACTAGGAATAAATGAAAAATGAAGGTTTTATAAACTCAAGCTACCATGCTCTAATTCACAGGGCTGGGAAAATTATGAAGCCAAGAAAGAAAAGAACCTGAAGGAGAAATTCTAAAGCTATTCACATGTAAAATTTGCAACAGTAAGGGATGGGAGGTTAGGTGTATTGGAGCACTATCTTTAAATTATCTTAAACTCAGGGTTCCAGATAAGTGTTACTCATTAGGATAGAGGAAAATAGCTCTTGGGGCAAGTAAGGCAAACTTTCTCACATCAAACACTGCTGCCTGCACCTATTAAAATCAAAATAACTACATCAGAAAGACCATTCTACAAGTCTGAATTCCATACAAAGGCCACCTTACCCACTATAACTTATTCTGAGTTTCTATTAAAGAAAATGCAGAGTGGGCCAGGGGTGTAGCTCAGTGGTTCCGCCGCCTGCCTAGCAAGTGCAAGGACCCGAGTTCAATCCCTGGTACCAAAAAAAAAGAAAAAAAGAAAATGCAGAGTATAAAAAAACTGCTATAGACACATTTCTGTAAGTAGTTATTCTGGTAAAAAATACAAGTAGCAGATTAGCAGCCACGGGAACCAAGATACCTAGTGCCACAGGAGGTACTAACACAGAATAAAAAAACAGCCTGGTCACCTAAGAACAATGCTTAATTTCCCCTACTTTTGAGACTAGAGGGAAAAAGAGTTCAAAGTTTCAAGATGACTCAATAGATAAATAGGAATACCTTGTTCATTGCCATCACTTTCTCTTCTTTATGCTCCAAATATTTTAAAACCTTAAACCACATTTATTAAGATAACCAGTTATCTAACACATCGAATTTATATCTATCCCTATATAAAAGCTATTATTATCAAACCTAATTACGTGAATCATAGTTTCAAAAATGTCATTATGGGGCACGGGATTTAGCTCAGTGGTTTCATCGCCTGCTGCGCAAACGCAAGGACCCGAGTTCGATCGCCAGTACCAAAAAAAAAAGTCATTATGCTATGAAAACCTAAAACACATCTAGAAAACATTAATAGCTGTTTCCTAAAGAAAACAGCTTCATCCCTGGAAAATCAAAAACCATTTTAGGAGGCCCTAGGTGCTCTACCTACCTTGTTCTTCATGATCTTTGAAGTGCCACCAATACCCTTTGGAAGGATGATATCGACAATAAGACATAGCTTCATCAAAAGCTGACTGAATGCCATGCACTGCAGTAAGCTTGTAAAAAGAAAAAAAATTCTAAATTTCTCACTAGATCAACCAAATTTCCAAAGTAAATACAAAATGTTACATATGCAAAGAGAGTAATTTCCTATTTTTCAGAATCTATATCACTATATAACTGGAGTTGCACAGTCATCCCTCAAAATCCATAGGGGATTGGTTCCAGAACCCTCCACAGATACTAAAATCCATGGATTCTCAAATCCCTTCTATTAAAAGGATATAATATTTGTTTAAAAAGATATAATATTTGCATATAATCTACATACATTTTCCATGTACTTTATACCATCTCTAGATTATTAATAAGGTGCAATATAATGTAAATATTTAAATAGCTGTTACACTATTATTTAGGGAATGATAACAAGGAAAAAGTCTGAACATGTTCAATACAGATGCAACTTATTTTTCTGAATATTTTCATCCACAATAAATGGACATGGAACTTACTGATACACAAAGCCAACTATATGTAATAGCATTGACCTGGCCTATGATAAACAAGCCTCAAGTCACTGTAATGGTCAATACTTCATACTAACTTACACAAGGGAGAGGAGCTCCTGCTTGCTTCTTAGAAGCAGGCTAGCTCAATTAAGTTTTCTTTAATGTTTAAAAAATGTGAAGACACTTACCACTCTGGAGTTTATAACTGATCCCAAGTCTGGTGCCTGATAAATCACCCCAGCAATGATATAGTAATCAGCAAGAGGAATAACTAAAGCAGTGGGGGAAAAATGCTTGTGAACATAGCTCTGGACATAAACTTCTAAATAGATATTAATTTAAAAAACAAGCAAAACTTGACATTTTCCCAAACTAAGCTTTATGGCAAGCTTTGGTAATTTTTGTTTTTATAAAGTTTTACTGGAAAACAGACATTCATTTGTGTGTTATCTGTGGCTGCTTTGACAACAGTTGAGATGTCACTGAGACTAAGGGGCCCAGAAAGACCAAGAATTTACTCTCTAACCCTGCAAGATCAGTACTTCTCTAATGAGCATCGACATTACATCACATCAGTTTCATGTGCATTTGTGGCACTAGTGCTATTATTAGTCAACCAAACTTTCAGGAGAAAGAGCTTGCAGCAAGAGTGACAAGGATCCCAGGATGAAGACATCAGATGCAGTAAACTCACCTCTAATCCCAGGACTGAATCTCACTGCCTAGCTGTCCAGGGCCATCTTGTATACCCTGTACAGATTCGATACCCTGAATCCTCTTCACATGGTCTCACCTTTCACTAAGGTCTCTTTTTCTCTAGAGACTCTAAATCTTCCATTTTGAAACTAAAGTTGGGTTCTGGAACCACAACTGTTTAGCAATCTCTGAAATCAATACTAGAGTAAGGGTTGTTCATAAATGTCTTCATGAGGGTATCTAATTGAAAGATATAGCTGAAATAACACTATCTGGCTTCTCTACCTTGAATTGTCTCTTTAGGGTGAATTTTTCCAAAGTCCTGGTTCGGTTCTAAGATGTCTTATAGTTCTGGTCATCTCTACAATAAGTGTCTTAGCTCTCGTATTCAAAACCAAATCTGGATTCTATACTCCTGAGTAGTATTTCTCAAGCAAGCTTTCATTTGGTAGTAAAATCCAGGTAAGACTTTTGGTTGAATGTGTCACTGAGGATATTTAATTGATTCTCTATGAATTTGATAAGATTTCAACTGCTATGTACAGTATTTTGTGACAGAATTGATTCAGTTCACTGAGATGAGAAGAAAAGTTACTTGGGATGCCTGAGACTCAATGGGATCCCAACAACTATGTTCACAGAAAGAGTTGAGTTGTTCTGACTGCTAGTGCCTAAAGAATTGTCCTTGGGCATGTTTGCAAAAATTATGGTGTCCATGCATATGAACAGTAGAATGTGGCTTTTGAAACATCCTGGCAAAATGTACAAGCAATGTGAATATAAGGGACATCTAATTTCCTTCTGGAAGTCTGAAATTCTGGTGGACAGAGGATGCTTAAAGACCAGGCCTCAATAAAAAAACCCTAAGCTCTGAGTTTAAAATGGGCTTCACTGAATAGACATATACACGTGTGGCTGCATCTCACTGCCGAATAGCAGCCATGCCCAGTGTGGCTCCTCACAAGAAAAGCACAGGAAACCAGCACATGGATTCCTACAGACCCTACTTGTTATGTCTTTTTCTATTACTAATCTGACTGTGTAGCCACAACGAATCTTACTCATGAGCAAAACTACATGCTGAGTCTGATGAGTGCCCCAAGCAAATTACTGAACATGTATGTGCTTTGGAACCCCTCAAAACAGAACTCAATCCATAAATAAATAGATCGTGATATTTTAAGAAAAAAAATGCCTGAAGTTTACCTTGAGCAGGAGACTGCCGCTGTTGCTTTCGAATGATGAAAAGAATTGGCTCTTGAGCATGTAAAAGGATGTACTCAACTCCAACCATCTGACTGAAACAGAGAGACATCCCAATCTATGAATGCCTACAATGATTCTGTAGGACATTCCAATCACATAATTGCAGCAACACTGTAAATAGAGTTAAAGTTGTCTCTGTTTGGTGTTAAAACTTGGTTGTTGAATAAAACTGGCTAATTTCCTGGATAGGTGATATATAGATAAAGAATTGAGTTATTGTCCATCCCCTCCCCCATGGGGACCAAACTCAGGACCTTGTGCTTGCAAGGCAGGCACAGCAACACTGAGCTAAATCCCTGGCCCAAGAGTTGGTTTTTAAACAACAAAATTTCTCTACAAAATTCATCATGAGTTTAAATGAGTACTTTTCAGACAGAAAAATACACTGAAGTGTCTGTTTCAAAATGGCAATTAAAAAACAATGTTTCCTGACCAACACGTATAAATATATGAAATATAAAAATAAACACCAAGGGGCCGGGATTCAGCTCAGTGGTTTTGCTCCCTGCCGTGCAAGCGGAAGGATCCGAGTTCGATCCCCGGTACCAAAAAAATAAAATAAAATAAAATAAAATAAAATAAAATAAAATAAAATAAACACCAAAAACCTTATCCTCACCCCATACTCTTTTTGCCCTGCCAGATTGTTTAAAAGCAACAATACCTTATCTTATTAAATAGCTCATAACAGAAACCATTTAAAATACTATAGAAATTTCATAAAATCTACCACCTACAATATTCAAGTAATATGATAAATTATATATTATACTTGTTTCAGAAACTTATATAATAGTAATAAATTCATTATTTAGCATCCTTAGTCTGAAGAATCTTGTTTTATGTTTAGTTGAATTTTACTACTTTCTCTACTTGTCATACAAAGAAAAATCCAATATAAACCAGATTATGGCATAAAACATTACAATTAGATTTAAAAGAGAACAATAATTATGATTGTCTGGTTGAGAAGAACAGCTGCACTGCTAAAACCACTCAACAGTTAGATTTTAAATAGACATTATGAAATTATACAGAAAAGACTAAATTGCAAGTGACTACTAATAATTCCCTTGGATGTTACATTGTATAAACCCAAACAAAGCTTAAATTTTTCTTCCGAAAGTTCTACTCTGTATTTTATAATCCACAGCTCAAAAGAAACATTTGCTACAAAATCTCTAGTTGGCAAAGATGCTACCTTCTTAATAAAATAACTTACTTCAAGTGTTCTAATGTTAGCCTCTGCATTTTGACCACTTCATTATTACATGTCCTGTCATAAAAAGGATTACTTCTTTCTGAAAAGTAATCCAGGACACTACCACTGTTCAAAATGGGAATCCAAGAGCTGTCGACCCAAGAGATTCCCAGCAGATTATCTATAAGAAAGAAACAAGGTGATAACAATTAGAATAGAGAAAAAAATCCAATTTGACAAGCATCTCTTAGGGATCTAATGTAGCAGGCACTAAGAATATAAAAATAACAAGGATCCTAGCTTATGTATTCTCACAGTAGAGAAATATGCAAGAAAACAATGACAACACAATATAGTAATACAAGTATGGATAAATGAGTTATGAGAGCACAGAAGAGGGAGTAGACTATTTTACCCAGAGGGAATGAATACGATTTTTCATAGGCATAGCAGGTGGATTTTAATACTGATTTTAATACTTGAGCAGGTGTGAGGGTGCATGCCTATAATCTGAGCAATAAGGGGGGGGGGGGGGCAGAGGCAAGAGGATCAAGTTCAAGTGCAGCCTAGGCAACTTCACAAAATCAGTCCCAAAGTTAAAAATGGAGTGGGGATGTAGTTCAGGGCTAAGGCCCTGGGTTCAATCTAGGAAACAACAACAACAACAACAAAAATCTCACCATAGATAAAAGGATAAAGTAATTCTAAACAAAGAGAATTCATATACAGAAGTATAAAAATACAAAGTATATTACACATTTACAGAATAATTTGATTAGGTAAAAAAGTGTTAAGGCTTGATATCTAGATAGATCTTTTCAAAAACTGAAACTCCTGAGTTTTTATATGCTAGCCAGTCATTCAAAAAACTTCAAAGACATCAGTTTGAGATCTCAATTAGGGTCAAAGAAATACATTGTGGAGCTATTACTACAGATGAGATGATATAAAATTTAAAGGGTAAATGGTAAGTAGAATTCCCTTATTACAGCCACACTGTTTCATATTTGAGGAGAATTAAACCTTTAAAAGGCATGATATAGGGCTAGGGATTTAGCTCAGTGGCACCCACGCCTGCCTCGTAAGCACAAGGTCTTGAATTCGATCCCCAGTACCAAAAAAAAAAAAAAAAAGACATGATAAATAGATGCATTTAACTAATGAGGTTTTTTCTTTTTTGTTTGTTTTTTAGCAGTACTGGGAATTGAACCCAGCACCTTCACAGTGAGCACGCCTTGGGTCTGAATTTGAGATCCTTAATCTCAGGCTCCCTGAGTGCTGGCATTACAAAAGTGTGCCACCTGGTGGACTGTTCTCCAAGCTCATAACAATTACTGGCTATTGGCTGTGTGGATGTTTCATCCACTATGGACTATACTACAAGGTTTAAATCATGAACATCAAAATGTCTATATAACTGGTTGAAAAATTTCAACCTCTTATATGCTGCAATTATTTCTGGCATCTTTGAAGAAGTCAGACCTAATTTAAGGTGACAAGCAGTTCTGCACAAAATGAATCAAATCACAGGCACTGTATTTTTTTTTTAAGTAAAAATGCAAAATATGCTATATGCCCCCTAAAACAGACAAACAAATGAAGTACACAGTATCCAAAATAATAGTGCAATATTACTGTTACTAAGTAAAATAAAGAAATCAATAAAGCATTCATGTAACCTGAAAAAATAATTAGTATAGACCATTATACAGTTCATAATAAGGGGATCGTGCCATAACCAAATGTACGAGACACCAGGAAATATTTTCAGAAAAAGTCATTTTTTCCTAATGAAAAGCAACAAAGGATAATCATTATTCTCAGTTAAATTCTGTAGTCTAATTATTAACACAAGTTTATTTTCAACAAAACTCCCCATGCAATTCTTTTTAATTTTCTTAGGAAACTACCATTCCCCTCTCCCCACTAAAAAATGTTTCCTATATCCTTATCTTTCCATGCATTGCTATTGATTTCTATCAGGCCTTCATTATTTCATGCCCATATCTATTAACTCTTCCTAACTATTGGGAGGTAGGATTTTTAATTATGAATACTTGCTTATATATGTAAAATGCTTAGCACATTGTTACCTAATAAATGTCAAATATGATAATACTGGTGTTGGTGGTGCCTTTTTCTCCATTCTCATGGCAATTTTTATATACTTCTATTACTAATACTCATAAATCAAAAATTCAAATGTAGATGGAGGGAAAGAGAAACTGAAAAGAATTTAGATGTATTATATACATGTACCAACTTTACACAACAAATGTAATCATTATGTCCTGCAAACATGTACCAAAAACATAAATGTTAAAAAACAGAACCACGGGCCGGGGATTTAGCTCAGTGGTTCCGTCGCTTGCCTAGCAAGCGCAAGGACCCAAGTGCGATGTCTGATACCAAAAAAAAAAAACAAAACAGAACCACAACAAAATACAAATGCACCCCTATTAAACTGTAGGTTTTACTCATCAGGAACTAGCACAGGACTTGATTCGTAGAAATTAGCAAATGCTTATTAATTCATGAGGGCCAAGAACAAGTTATGATTTACTCTACTAATTAGAGATATTTATCAATGCACATAGACTCCAATTTCCAAAGATGCTCATCCACAAAATGGTTAACTAAGATTAAGATATGTTCTATAGCTATAAAATAGAGCATAATTATCTGTCCCACTCGGAGATTACCTGTCACAACTTCATAAGAACACAATACCAAATCAAGCAGACTCCAAACACTTCTTCCTGTCTCTACTGTTAACACCCTAGCCCAAGCAACCTCCAAATCTCCATCTACTTTAGAAACAGTCTCCTACCTAGTTTCTCTAAGTCTACCCTTGCCTTCCTACACTGTTCTCAACTACGGTGATTTAAAAAAAAAAAAGTCAAACTATGTCATCCATCTGGTCAAAATCCTCTGGCAGCTCTCCATTTTACTCAAGTGGAAAATCGAAAGAGCACCATGGCTTACAATACCTCTCCAACTTCATCTCCTTCCCACATCTTCCCTCACTCAGCCTCTAGCCATACCAGCTTCCTTGTTGTTCCTCTAAATCACCACTCTCCTACTACTTTAGAGCCTTTGCTAACAAATATAAATAAAAAGTAAAACATTACAAATGCTAACTACTTTAATGTAGTCTTATGGATTAAATGCTTCTCTTTTTATTCACTATCTAGCAAAGTGACTTATAAGTACAGCACTCTTGACAATCTGCAAGTGATGAAATTAAGCACTTGAAACTCTCATGATGAAAGACAAATATGTAAAAACATGACCCAGAAATGCAGAAGATCGCTAAATAACCATAAATAAGTCTGTTAAACCTCAATTCGGTTATTATAGAAAAAGGCATCAAAATCACTTGCCTTTAAATATAAGTATACACAAGCAAAACCTTACATACTTTGCAAGATCAAGAAGTAACTAAGAGGTTGCATCTCCACATATTTATCCACTGACTCAACAAGTATTTTGAGAAATTCTACAGTTCAGCCATGAAAAATAAACGACTCCTGACCTAAGCAATTACAGTACGGGGTGTTAAATACAAAGTATTATAGACTCAAAAATAAAACATACGTGGGCTGTGATCTCAAGAACAACGCAGTCCCCCAAATTAAGTCCCAAGAAGATACATCAAAACAAGTAGGCCCATTATCTCTCTGACCAAAGGCCATCCTTGCACCCTGATATAATAGCTCCCATACTGCTACAGTACAGAGGTAGTATGTACAACATAACTCCAAACAGGAGACTTTTTAAAGACGCTCATCAGGATCTACGGAAAACTCGGCAACTTTTCTTTATTAACAGCCTTGGGTCGTCTATAGAAACGATCGAGAAGAGGGAAAAAGACTTCACAAAGTAATCTGAATCTTGCCCCCGTGAATTGTAAACCACAGACGCGTTCACAATTATGTAAAAAGCACAACGGCATTACCTCTGATATCCACTGCAGCCATAATTCCGAAATCGAATCGCTCCTAGACTCTCCTTCCGGCACCGAGTAAAGGACCTGACGTAACGTCAAAGGGACGGTTCAGTGTAGTACAGACAGTGAGGAGGGACAAAAGAGGGCAGGAAGGACGGAACTCCGCGAAGAGAGGGGCTCAGTAGCTGGGGAGATGGGCGGGGTTGGGAGGTGCGAAAGCGGAGGGAAAGAAAGGAGCGTGCCTCAGGGCGTGGCGGCAGGGGAAGGGGCGGAGCGAGTAGAGAAGGAAAGAGAGGCTGGAGCGAGGCGAGGAACCGAGGGGCGGGGCTGAGAGGTGAAAGCCCGGAGGTAAAGAGACCCCTGCAGGGAGAGGCTAGAAAGTTGAGGCAAAAGGGTGGGTGGGCCACTGGGCAAAAACTTAGGCTTGCAGGCAAAGGACAAGAAAGGTGGTCCGGCGTTAGGCTTCGAATCTACTGAGGGTATCGAAAATTCACTCTTGATTCCCCATGGCTATCAAAATGGCAAATTCTAAATCTGGCGTAGAGATGGGAGTGCCTCCGATTTAAAAAGCTCTTCTTTCGTATCCCAATGAACTGTTAAGATTTAGGAGCTACCGGCCATTCTGTTTTTCTCTGCTTGGTGTGGGGATGGAACAGGATTCAGAAGAGAATTTGAGTCCTTGGTTTCTGTGTGACCACCCTTTTGGCGTTTACCATAAGAATGGCTCACCAAGGGTGGACCATCCACTCCCAGCCTCAGACTGAGACTAGGACTATAGGTTATCGAATTCCACAGATTTCTACGTCCCAAAACACAAAAGATCTCAGTTCCCAACTATATAGTGCCTCATTTCTTTGAGCACGCGCACTCCACTCCTGAGTGGATTCTATATCTTCCTCTAATCTTTCTTATCCATCTTTTTTACTGATGAGTCCTGAAAATTTTTTTCCCGAGGCAGGAGTCAGCAAACCCGCATACTTAATTTAAAAGGGCGGATTAAGTTCCTTATCTCAGCCTTGGGGACCCTCATAATGGCTGCATTAGCTGGAACACTTCGCAAGACTCCAGAGAAGGAATGGTTCTGTGATCTGGGAAAGCCAAAGAAAGCCGTAGACTCAAGCTCTGGTTCAGCTCTATAAAAGCAAAATGTTGGAGATGCCTGCAAACAAGCCAAGGAGAAAAGAGAATTCCAAAACCTTAAGGAAGGATGAGTTTCTCCAAAACTTAGGGACTATGAAGACTCCCCAGAATTTAACCATTACCCATGGGTAAAGGGGGAGGACCATGAATTTAACTGGTATTTTTCCACTTCGTAGGGAATTCAAAAATTTTAAATCTCAATGGAATAGAAGTTTATTGCTTTACGCTTTAATTTTTGAACTGGGATTTTAGTTTTATACTTGAGATGGTATGTATAAAATAAGTGTCCCCAACAGAATGTTCACTTAATGAGTACAGTTTTGAAAGGCAGTTTTCCAGGCAGAAACATCAAGCTTTTTGTATTGACTGATTTTCTTTCTGTTATGTTTTTAAGAGAGAAGATTAGAACAAATCGGGACAGTGATACAGGGGAAGAGATGTAACTAGATACCGAAATGCAAGTTCGTGTTCTCTAAAACTGAAGAATGAATTCTAGGGACAACGGAGGTTAAGAGTAGGAAAAATTTATTGAGAGAAAGAAAGGTGCTGCCTAAGAGAGACAGAAAGGGGACCAGAAAGTGGGTTGCCCACCATCCACCCACCCCACGTTTCAAAGATGTTTTATACAGCTAAGCCATTGGTGAGGCAGGTACAAAGTGGGAAAAAGGCTTTGGAAATTTACAATGGAAATGGAAATTTACAAGATGGGCATAAGATGGGTCCAAACCATGACCAACCAATAAGATTACAAGTACAGTCACCCAGGTAATATTGAGTAAATGGGGATCAAATGGGAAAATGATAGATCTCCCACTACCTCAGCAACTGTTATGTATAATAGCTGCCCTCTTCCTATCGTGCCTTGCCCCCTCCCCTGTGTGACGTCATGCCAAGATGGTTGCTCCCACCAAAGAACAAACCCTTCTTCCCAGCATGCCCCTGTTCCCACCTAGAGAGTAACCTAATACTCCCTCACCTCCTATCACTTAGTGATGGCACTGGCTCCTCCATCCCTAGTCACTACCTCACTCAATCCTGCCTCAGCCCCTAAAAACCCCACCTCAGTCTTTATAAAAGAGTCTCCCTGCCTTGGCCATATTGCTTTTTGTCTCTCCTTTGTTCGGAGACATCCTGGCAGATCTATTCCCCTAATAAAGGCTTGTTGTGGCCTGGTCTAGTTTTGGTTTTCAGCCCTTTTACCTGGCAGAAAACAAGTCACATACAAGAAATTTCCCGTTTAGAATATCAATCACTGCTGTCTATCTCTAGGGGACCTGGTGCCTCTTCTTTTTATAATGCTAACTAGTGGATGTGCCTCAATTGTTTTCCATGTTGGTTCCTTGCTGTGTTGGCTCCTGGAGGGATGACACCTTAAGGGTGGCCCTGTCTAACTGTCTACAATATATCTAATTAACTTATCTATCTACAATAACCACAGATCTGTAGATGATAAAATACATGGTAAGCACAGTAAACAAGACCTGGGAGCTCAACCATTATTTTGTAGGCAATAGAATAAATGTGATTAAGATTCCAGTTTAGGAAGATTTGAGGAGGATGAGTTGAGGGTGTTTATAAGACTGAAAGCAGGGAGTGCATTTAGGAGCCTGTTGCAAACTAATGGTAACACTAATTCAAATGAAGTTGTAGGGAGAGAAGAGAAAGGATTAAAAATATTTAGGTGACAGAATCAAAAGCCAATTAGTGACTAATAAGTGAGCCTGGTGAGGGAGAGAGAGGACATAAAAATGAATCCCAGGATACTGATTTATGAGACTGGGTGCCATTAACCACGTTAGGAATAGTAAGTAATAAATGAGTAGATGATTAGAGGGTAATAATTTATTTTTGAACATGACTATGTATGAAATGTCTGCCACATCCTTTAGTCTAGAGTTTTTAAGGCTTTGCACTGTAGGGACAGGGCCCCTGTAAGTAGAGAAAAGGTAGGATTAAGGCCTCATTGAGCTTTGTTAGAAGTTAATAGAGCAACTAAGGGCAGCTAGAAGCAGTTTAGTAGAGGGCCTCTACTACTGCAAATTAGACTCCAGCAATTAGAAAGACAAAGGCAGCTAGAGTCAAGCAATCAGAAAGAGCAGGGCAAAAAAAACTAAGCTCAGGAGGGTCCTAGGTAGTGCAATTAACATAAGAATTAAACATTTCCCCTTTACTTACTACTTAAACCTAAACTACTTATCCATAAACCCCACCCACCCATAATCTCATCCTCCCCCAAAGGACTGGAAAAGGTCAAATAACCAGAAGAAATCCAAGGAGAGGACCAAAAACAGCCAGGGAGCCAATCAGATTCCAGGAGCCTACTGGGACAAAGATCTCAATAAAAGGAGCTGCCTTATCAGACCATAGTGCAATTAAACCGCAGACCAATACCATCAGAAACCTCAAGAGCTTCACCAACACATGGAAAATGAACAACACTCTCCTGAATAACCAATGGGTCACAGAGGAAATTAAAGAAATTAGACAGGTTTTAAAACTGAGTGATAATGCCAGTACAACATACAGGAGTCTATGGGACACAATGAAAGCAGTTCTACCAGGGAAATTCACACCAGTGAGTGCCCACACTAGGGAAAACAGAATGAGCTCAAATAAACAACCTAAAGCTGAACCTTCAGTTCCTAGAAAAAGAAGAGCAAGACAAATCCAAAGCTCGCACAAGGGAGGAAATTATAAAGATCAGAGCAGAAATCAATGCAATGGAGACTAAGAGAATGATACAAAAAATCAACAAATCAA